CAGAAAATGTAAATGTCATGAGAGTTTCACCTGAGAGGGGACATTGAAGACCATTAGATTTGTTGATGCCATATATTGGGAGAATTACGGGCTTTGGAATTGAACACACAGGTTAAAATTTTATCTCTGGTTTTTACACTTGGAAAACTGTCAGGGAGAATAATGGCCATTAAGATCCTAGAAAGTAGGATGTGCCTTTGCTGTCCCTTCCAAAACCTAGAGCTGCTAAGGTTCAGAAGTGAGGACGGTCCCGTGTCTCTGGAAGCAATTTGTTTGTTTGTTTGACAGTGCTAGTTTGGACCTAAGGCCTTGTATGTGACAGGCAAGCGTAGTACCGCTGAGCTTGACTGGTTTTTGTTTTGTTTTGTTTTGAGACAGGGTCTTACTCTGTAGTCCCAACTGGCCTGGAACTCACTATATAGACCAGGTTGACTTTGAACTCACAGAGATCTGCTTGCCTCTGCCCCCCCCCCCCCCCCCCCCCCCCCCCGCAAGGGCTAGGAACAAGCATTCTCTGAGTCACTGCTCTATTTCCCTGGAGCCAGGCCCTTCCATGGAGTCACTCTCCCCAAGCCGCTCCCCTCGGATTCAGGCCTGAGGTATCCCGTGCAGAGTCGGCTTCACCTGGGTCCCGCTTCTTCCTCCTCACACTCGCTCCCTTAAGTTTGCTTTCATTTACCAAAATGAATCCTCACTAGGGATGAAAACTCTGTACAGCGGGTAAGAACAGCTAAGGCCTCTGTCTCAGGCGTGTCCTTGTCACCAATGCATCTGTTGCTGACTCACAGTTGTTATTTTACATTTTATGTACTTTTTCAGACAGGGTCTCTCTGGGCAGCTCTGGCTGACCTTTGTGCTTTCTGTTGCTCAAGTCCGAAACTTGAACAAAATGAGACCCTGTTCCTGCCTTCTCACTTCCAAATTTACACCCAGTCTTGCTAGTTCTAGCTCCTAAACATCTATGCCAACCTCTGTTGCCGTGACAACATCCTATGTTGATCCACTTCCTAGTTTGCCCTTAGTTTGCAGGAGGTGGGACTCCGTAGCTGCTCTATTCTGTGGTCGGTACAGCTTTCTGAAGCTCACACTCCATCCTGTAACTTTCTGTCCTAAATACTTCCACATTTTATCATTGTCCTTAGCAAAGCCAGGGACCAGATGTGTCCCTACCACTGATAAAGTCTCATCTCTCTCCACCCTCACCCTAATCGGTACCGGGTGGAATAGTGGCCCACTCCCAATTCAGGTCTACCTCTAATCCCAGACTATAACCTCAACGGGCCACTGGGCCTTTGCAGATAGAATGGCCAAAGATTGAGATGAAGTTAGGGTAGGCTCTAAGTTCAGTGACTGGTGTCATTGAAAAGACACCCGGAGAAGCGGCTCTGTAAGATGGAGGTGGAGCTGGGTGTGGTGGCCCATGCCTGTAATCCCAGCACTTGGAAGCAGGGGAGCCATAAAATTGAAGATGTCTGAGCTATTTCATGGGTTTTAGGCTAGACTGGGATACAGAGTGAGACCATGTCTTGGAAGGGGGAGGGGGAAGGGAGTGAGGGAATAGGGGAGTGGGGGGGAGAGAGAATATGAATATCAGCAACCTTGGAATAATGGAATTACAAGGTAAAGAACACAGAAGAATAGCTGGGCGTGGTAGTGCATGTCTGTAACCCCAAACTCAAGAGGCCGAGGGAGGAGGATCCTGAGTTTGAGGACAGTCTAGGCTATATAGCAAATTCAGGTTGTCATGGATTACAGGGTGTGACCTATTCTCAACTGAAAAAAAGAAAGAAAAAAGGAAAAGAAAGACAAGAAGAAAAAGGGCACTAAGGATTGTTGGAACCACCAGGAAAGATTCTCTCCCCTAAGGGCCTCAGGGAGAACCCGGTCTCTGAAACCTTGGCTTGGGACATCCAGTCTCCAGAAGTGTGAGCAGGGAGAAAAGTTGAGGAGTCTAGAAGCCTTGGGTGCTGAGATGGGAGGGAGATCACGCAAGGTGACAGTGAGTGAATGGGAAGACCGAGGTGAACTAGGTCCAGTCGGATTGTGCCTTCAGTGGGGCCTGGGGGTGTATCAGTTCCTAGAAGGGAAAACATTTGTAGGGACTTGCCAAGTCCTCTGTGACCTGCCACATCCCCTCATGTCCCCCAGCTTCCTCTTCCTACCCCCACCTGCACCCAGCTCTCCCCTGGGCCTCAGGAGGCTTTGCCACCTAGAACCTGTCTCTGCCAGCCCAGGAGAGGTCTCGGCAGGTCTCATCTCTTGCTTCCAGCTTCTCTGAGGCTGAACTGCCCCTGTGTGAGTAGGTCCTATTTGGGGCACACGTCACCCTCGGTGTTACCCACTTCCTAGTGGCCCCCACCATGTGTACCTAAATCTCATGTATTTTTTCTGCCATAGAGAGTGGGCCAGAGTCTCCCAGTGTAAATAACATGGGCTGCAAAGGTTCCTACACCGGCCCGGGAATCACCATTGCCAGCAATGAGCAAATGATTAACCAAAGCCTCTTCATCCTCAGAATGGGAATAATGATATTGTCCTTGGAGGGTTGTTGTATACAGTCCTTGGCATACAGTAGGTGATCAATAGTTCATGCTGATTAACCAAGCAATTGGATAATCATTGTCTTAATAATCACTAAGATCAGGGAGTACTTTGTTTTTATTTTACTATAATAAGCTCATGGGCCTGGGCAGTGGTGGCACATGCCTTTAATCCCAGCACTCGGAAGGCAGAGGCAGGTGGATCTCTGTGAGTTGGAGGCCAGCCTGGTCTACAGAGTGAGTTCCAGGACAGGCTCCAAAGCTGCACAGAGAAACCCCGTTTTGGGAAAAAAAAAAAAAAAAAAGTCCATGGGTTTTTTATTTGTTTCATTTTTGAGGAGTGGAAAAGGAGAGACACATTATAGAGCACGCAAGGCTGATTGGCAGCTGCCCTCAGCCCTCCCTGGAGTCATCTGCTTTCCCTACCATGTCCACTTGGGAGCATAGAGGGGTGCGGTCTGGCTGACACTGTTTGTCTGTGCTCCAACGACAACGCAGCTTAGGCTCAGGCCTTCAGGTGAGGGCAGATGAGGAAGGGCCTGTGGGGTTTGCTGCAGGAGCTGTTTGTTGGCAAAGGTGCGCGGCTGGGTCTTGTTGAGACGGTTTCTCCTGTGGTTTGCACGTGTCAGGCATGCTTGTGCCTTGCGCTCTGTCTTTCCCCCACAGTCCGGTCCGAGCTGACGCTGCAGCTGCCCTTGTGGTCTGGAACATCATGGTTTTTTTTTTGTTGTTGTTTTGTTTTTGTAGTAGTGCAGTTTTAAGGGCAGAGGTGAAGGTAAGGAGCCACAGGTCTAAGGATGGAGGAGGAGCAGAATAATGGGGTTGGGATCTCTCTGGAAAGAAACAGAGGAGACAGGGACCTTCTGTGGTCTGCTTGGGCTGGACCAAGGCCACGTAGATGAAAGTCCATTGGAGCATCCCATTGTGTAAAAGGTCGTGTGGAGCCTGGCTAGAGGGAGCCAGGCTTGGTGTTGCAACCCTGACCTCTTCGTGTAGACCTTGAAGAGTGTGTGCAGAGTTGCCAAGCCATGGTCCAGCTGGCCTGGCTTCCCGAGCCAGGGATGAGGAGCCGAGGGCACCGCGGGACACTTTTGTGGATGCTTTGCACTCTCTTCTCAGCTTTGGGCCAGCGCTGTGGAAGTCACAGTTCTCATCTGTGCTGTCTTTTAACCCTCCTTCACATTCTACTCAGAACAGAAAAGAACGACCTGGGCTGGGTGGTATGCAGCTGTAATCCCAGCCCTTGGAAGGTAGAGGCAGGAGGAACAGGAATTTAAGGTCATCTTCATCTACATAGCAAGTTCAAGACCAGCCTGGGCCACTGAAATCCCGTCTCAAAAAGCGAAACAAAGAAACAAAACCGAAAACAGTATGAAAGAATGCCCCGCTGTCGCCCCGCCCCCACCAACGTGCATCACTTTTGTCCTCTCCCTGCTCTGTAGTGTCGCACGTGCAACAGGCGCCAAGGAGGGTGCCTCAGCCTGGGTGAGGGTCTCTCTGGAGCCTCTCATACAGAACCCAGTCCCAGCCCATCGACGTGGAGTGAGGCGCCTGAGTGTTCTGAGCTCCTTTCCACATTGACAGGCTGAGACTGTAGCCCTTTTGGGGGCGTGGGGTCTGGGGGATGTACTGATTGGAAGCTATGGATGATGGGAACCGAACAGGAGGAAAGAAATCAGCCCTCAGATTGAGAAGAGGTGGAGGGGTGAGCGGGTGAGTGATCTGAGGGGTGAGCAGTGAGTGAGGCTGAGGGTGAACAGTGAGTGATCTGAGGGTGAGCAGTGAGTGATCTGAGGGTGAGCAGTGAGTGATCTGAGGGTGAGCAGTGAGTGATCTGAGGGTGAGCAGTGAGTGACCTAACTGGGTCTTCCTCCGTGGCTGTTAAAGTTCCTTCCTTCTTGGAAGAAATGACATAAACTACCACTTTAGCTATTCTGAGAGTCCTGCTCAAGGGCGCTAAGTCTGTTTACTTATTGTCTAACCACCAACACTACTTCTCTCCAGGATATTCTCATCTAGTGAAACTGAAACTCTACACCCATGCCATGCCCCTCTCCCCTCCCCCCGGACCTGGCAACCACCCCCTGCGCTAAGTACAGTCACAGATTATCTGACCACCTCTCTCTCTCTCTCTCTCTCTCTCTCTCTCTCTCTCTCTCTCTCTCTCTCTCTCTCTCTCTCTCTCTCTCTCTCTCTCGTTTTTCCGAGACAGGGTTTCTCTTTGTACTTTTGGTGCCTGTCCTGGATTTCGCCCTGTAGACCAGGCTGGCCTCGAACTCAGAGCGATCCGCCTGGCTCTGCCTCCCGAGTGCTGGGATTAAAGGCGTGCACCACCACCGCCCAGCAACCACCACTTCTCTGAACAGCATAGTTTCATCTTGGGAAACTGAAACTCTGTAACTATTGCCCACCCCATCCCTCTTCCCCCCTGGCTCCCGGCAACTCCTGCTTTCTCTAGCCGTAACTTTCACTCAGGACCTCATAGAGTGGGATCACTTTCGGTCCTCTTGGGCCATCTCCTCTAATGGCTGATTTTAAATCACATTTGTGCCGTCCTGCTTCTCTAACACACATTTCCAAAAGCTCTCTAGTAAGTGCCTCCCTTCAGCGTTCAGTGTGCAATCCCCGTGCTGGCTGTGTCCCACACAGGCGCCCCCGCACATCGTCCTCTAACCCTCGTACACACACACACACACACACACACACACACACACACACACACACACACACACACGCAGCCCTTGGTTACCAGGTTCCAGCGTCACTGTCCTTTCAGACATCAGGAGCACGAGGCACCACAGGGGAATGGTGAGCTGCAGGACAGGGCTGCCGGGCTGGCTGATAGTCCAGTCTGAGAGTCTTCTGTTGCTTTCTCCAACCCTCTGGCCACATCCTGGACTTGGGAGAAGCAGCTGACCAGAACTCTGATCCAGTGTCTGCTTATCGTGTCCTCCCTGTCCTGTGAGATCTTGAAGTTAACCCTAGCCTGGACTGATTTACCCCAGTTTTCAAAACCATGAGTTTGTGGGGAAGAAAGACCCCCTAGGTCCTACCATCCTATGTGTGTGCATGTGCGTGTATTATGTGTGTAAGCATGTGAGTATTACATGTTGTAGGCATGTTTGCGTGTATGCATGCCCATTCCTATGCATGTGAAAGCCAGAAGTTGACATCAGGGTTCCTCTGATGTTATTCTCCACATGATTGAGACAGATCCTCTCAGCAGACTTGGAGTTCACTGATTTGCCAGGCTGGTTGACCAGCCATTCCATCCCCAGGATCCTCCTATCTCCATCTGCTCACATTATAAGTGTGTGCTGCCACACCCAGCTTTTTATGCAGGTTCCAGGAATCTCATGTGTGCGTGGTAAACACTTTACCCATGGAGCGGTCTTCCTAGCCTCCTTCACCTCTTGATAAGGAAGAAGGAGACCCAGATGTCTCTATTCCAGCTGGTCCTCTTGTTTGTTGGACATTGTCTCTTTAACTACTTGCAAGCTTGCCCCACCAAGACTCCCTCTTTTCGTTTGCCTGAATTACTGCATTAGCCCTTGCACTGGGTTCTAATCTCCTTCCAGCCACGTCTGTCTGCCGAGGAAGCCAGAAGTGACTGACTGGGGGCATCCCAGGGATTCAGGCACACAGGGGCAGGTGGCATGGTCGCTTGCTTGGGCAGTGGCCCTGGCCCGGTTGGCTCTGCAGGAGAAGCACCTCCACCAGCATCTAAAAGGCCAGTCAGATGACTGCCTTTTGTCTCAGAGCAGCATAAGCCTCCCACCCTCAAATCCTCACTCTACCTACCTCTCCAGCACTGTCTTCCAAGGCTCCCCACTCACTCCTACCCGCCAGCAAACTCCACTCCTGTAGCTCCCAGAGGCCACTTTCATTTCTGGCAGCACCGCTCAGCTAAGAACTCCATGGAGTGTAGCAGGTGTGTGTGTGTGTGTGTGTGTGTGTGTGTGTGTGTGTGTCTTACTTCAGTGGCTCCGGTCTCGTTCTCACCTGAGTTCCATTAAGTTGGCTGAATGAGGATGAATGATTGTAGGAGAAGAATTCTCGGGGAGGACCTTAGTAAGCAAGAATATTTACCTGCGTGATTTCAGTATGAAGCACAGTGATGCAAGATGATACCAGATCTGTCCAAGCGTCTGCCTGGAAATACCAGTGATGCCAACATTAAACATATTCGTGCAGATAGGAATATTTCACCATATGTTGCTAGACATCAATTCCTAAAGAGGGGCAGATGATTATCTGTAGACGCAAAAAAAAAAAAAAAAAAAAAAAAAAAAAAAAAGAGTTGAGCAAGACTGGGCACATACTCAGTGATAGAGAGCTTGCCTAGCATGTGCAAAGTCCTGGGTTCAGTGCCCAGCACTAGAAAATAAGAGTTGACTGTAAAACATAACTGACTTATTAGTTTGCTGATTATTTTCCTTGTCATAGACTTGCCCAACAGATTAGGCACGCAGAAACACCTTTCCCTGCTTCTTACCCCCACCATGTGATGTCTCTGTTCTACCTTCATGTCTCTACACTCCGGGAAGTAGTTCAAATGTAAGGGTAGACTAAGTCAGGAGCACTGGATGTGAGGCTATGGCTGAGAACAGGAGGATGGAGAACAGTATCCTTTCCGTGGCAGGACTTGCTGTGTCTAGCCACACTTCTCCTTCCAGTAAAGAGGCTTGAGGACAGACGGTGGGCCAGGTTCCTGTGCAGTCAGAGAGGTGGCACCTGGTCCTGTGGGACAGCCACATTAGAGGAGACGGGCAGAGGATCCTGGAGGTGTGGGCATCCTTCACGTGAACCCTGTGGGGTTTTTCACTGTGGAGGAATTGTTAGTCACGTGGGGCTGAGGAGAAAGCAATGAGCTCGCTCAGGCTGACTGACCCCAGCAACGGCAGACAGACTCTGGCGTGCATCCCCCTTCTGCAGCCTCGCCAGCGCTGGAGTGACAGGTGTGCAGCCACCACCCCCGGTACAAATCGGGACTTTAAAATGATTCAGTAAATTCCCCTTGTACATAAGTATTCAAGCCACTCAAAGCTGGGGTTGCGGAGGGTCTCCCGGGCCTGGACTGCAGGCAGCAGTCAGACTTACATCCTTCTTAGATTAATCTAGACAATTTCCCTCCGTCTATCCTTTTTCTTGTTTTGTTTTGTTCAGCTTCCTCCCCCAGACTCTACAGTCTGGAAGCCCCACACAAGTGACCCTTGGGGTTTTAGAACTTGTTGACGCAGGGGCTCCTGGCCTCCATCAGTAGAAGGCAGTAGCTCCGCTGTCCACCCTGCAGTTTCAACAAGCAAATCTGCCTGTAGCACTGACAGCCGTACTGGGGTGGGGGTGGGGGACACAAAATTGGCGCCAACTGGGGCCCTCTGACCTATCATACAGATAGTTAAAGCCTTTGTTACCACCTGCTGGGCTTTCAGAGTTAAAACTGGTTATAATTATAATGAAAGATAAATTCAGAACGAGGAAATAGCAACAGACTTTGTAAGTGTTGATGGGGTGTCTTGGGATCCACCCATAACACCCCAGGAAATGGATTTAAGAAGGCCTTAGGCAAGAGGATTGCCCCTGAAACTCACATTTGCTGGCCAACCAGTTGGCAAAGTTAATGGTCTTCGAGCTGCAGGTGTCCTCTGAAGACAGCACAAAACCCACCAGTTGCTACTTCGCTGGCTGGGAGATCTGAATCACATGGTGAGGCCAGGGCTGTGAGCTTACTAGTCTTTTAGTAGAAGTTTCAATAAATCAAGCTGTTGGCTTAGCAATTTATGGAGACTTTATAGTCAAAATCTCCATTAAAAAACAGATTTCAAAAACTCCATCTCCTTGTCCTCAGATCCCTCTGAAACCGGTCATGCTCCGTGGCAGATGCTTTTACGGGCCGAGCCATCTTGTCAGCCCTGTCCCCATTTTTCTGTATCTCCTTTCTGGCTCTTGGTGCATGTGTAGTGGATGACTTCAAAGTTTGCTTCCTACGTCGTCCACTGCCTGTGGTTCTCATTAAGCCCTTGCTTCTTGAGAAGCTCTCCAGGAATATTCATGAGAAGTGTCCAGGAGGGCCAGCAAAAGGAGTCCCCTATGAACTCAGCCTCAGCTTGTAAACTATCTGCGGTTTGAAGCCACATTCCAGAGGTCTGAGTCCTTATGATTTTATGAAATTCTTGTGATTTCTTTTATTAATTAAAGAAGATTTATTTTCTTTTTATTTATGTGTCTCTGTGTGTCTGTGTGTATACACATATATGTGCACGTGTACACGTGCCTAAGGTCGGAAGAGGGGGTTGGATTCCCTGGAGCTGGAGTTATTGGTGGTGAGCTGCCTGGGATCAGAACTCTGTCCTCCGCAAGAGCAGCAAGTGCTTCTAACCACTGAGCTATCTCTCCAGCCCTTCTGAAATCTTTCCAAAGTTATCCAAGCTCATTGTTTCCCCTTCTACAAAACGGCCATAAACATAGGACCTCACCATAGAATGAGAAATGTCCTGAGATCATTTCCTGGCACCTAATAAATTCGCAACCCATGTAAGCTATTCTAATTTACTCTGATGCAGTTAACACCAAATCAGAGCCGTAAACAGAATGTTGGAGAGTCTAAAGAGATTAATTACCCAAGGCAAACTGGCATCTATCAAAGAGATTGGGAAAACAGAGACATCCAAATACACACAGCATCCAGTAGCCCCTGTGGCGTTGCCTGAGCCAATGTGTTGTGCTGTCGAAGTGGGACCCGTGCCACCCCAGTGTGTCCATCCTAATGTGTCCTGGTCCCAGGCTCTGCCGAGTCCTTCAGACAAGAACAGCTGCTTTAAGGAAAAGCTCAGCGGCGTGTTGACATGATGGAATCTCCTTGCGTTTTAATTGTTCCCAGCAAACAAATGGGCAGTGATTTAGAGAAAGAGCAGTGGCTACTGGTGCCAGAAACCAACTGAAAAGTGTGTACTAGTGTTGTGGCCGATTAGGAAGACACCCCCCCCCCCATATCCGATGCAAAACACACAGGGATTTATTAATAACAAGCAAGCCCGGGCTTGGTCTGCATCCAACACTCACACAGCGAGTGGAGGAGGATGGCCCTGAGCTATCAGGGTGAGCGGTTTTTAAAGGGAAAAACCGCGAACAGGGTGGTACAAGCCTTTGCATCATATGATTGGGTGAGGGTGTGTAACCTTTGAATTTACTGGTTGGGGGTTACAGTTATCATTTTTGGGCAGGCCTGGACAAGTCCCAGGCTTTGTCCTTGAGCTGCCATGAAGGCTGGCTGGCCTAGCACGTTCACAGTGACCCTTGCATATAGCTCTAAGTTGGTGAGCGGTCTGGGACAGTAACAACTGACTGAACCTTGAGCAGTCAGAGAACATGCAGAAAGGGAGCTACTGCAAGGACTATGTCTTTTGTTTACGGCCCTCCCAGAAACTGCTTGCTTAAGTCTCAGGAAACTGAAACTGAGGCCTGATCTCTGAGAGAAGACTGAGCAGCCTGTTATGGCGTCTGCTTCGTCCAGAATAATGAAGTCTGTTTCAAATGGCAGTGCTCAGGCTGGAGGTGCCACCAACCAGCTTAGTCCCAGCAAAGAGACATTGGTACCCTGGGCATGGCTATTAATGAATTCTGTATTTCCCTAGGCTTCTTGGCTCCTCTAGCAGTTAGAGCCCATGTGTGCCAGAAACACTCAGTGGGGAACTTGTCTTGTCTTTTAACGAATGGTGCTGGGGAAACTGGAAATCACCATGAAAGATTTTGGCACAGGCAGGGCCAGTGGCTCATGCCTGTAATCCTGGTGCTCGGGAGGCTGAGGCAAGAGGATTGCCCTTGAGTTTGAGGCCAGCTTGGGCTAACACATGAGTTTCAGGCTAACTGGGTCACAGAGTAAGACCCTGTATCAACAGAAGTGGGACCCTTTTAGACAGTCTACATAGACTAACTCAAAAGGAATCGAAGGCCTCAGGACTGGGAAGGCCGAGGCAGGGAAGTTCATGCATTTGAGACCAGCTTGGGTCAATGATGAGGTGGTCTCAACAACCAACAGTACACAATCAGAAGACCAAAAGCTAGTAAGTCCCACCCCCCAAATTCTTTAGGAGTTAATCTTCATGACCAGTCGTTTCTTAAATAGAACACTAAAAGCACAAAGGATTCCTGACGCCCTTCCCCAAAGAGTAAATGGTGAAATGAAAAGACAGACCACTGAAAGAGCTGGCATAGGGAATAAAAGCCCTCTCTCACCAGCTGTACAAGCCTGAGGACCCAACAGTGCTCTTCAAAAGTCAGATGTGTGTGCCGGCACTCCTACAGTAAGCTGGGAGACTGAGGCAGAAGACTAGCCCAGAGGCACGCGAACCAGCTAGCCTGGAGTATCCAGCACAGCATCGAAAGAGGAGAGTCTCTGCCCCAGCAAGGTGAACAGCAAGAACCAATCCCAAGCGTTGTCCTCTGGCCTTCACATGTTCACGTGGCATGTGTGTGTGTGTTAGTGCAGGTACCTCTGAGGTCAAAGGTGTCAGAGTCCCCTGAGATGGGGTTACAGCTGGTTGTGAACTGTCTCACTGCCCAACATGGGTGCTGGGACCTCAGACCTGGGTCCTCTGCAAGAGCCGTCCATGCTCTTAGCCACTGAGCTGCTTTAAATAACAGCTCCATATAAATAAATAATAAAAAAAACACTGAATGAAGGGAAGTATTTGCACATCCAAGCTTGTGCATAAGCGTTCACAATAGCCTTATTTACCACAGGCAAAAAGTAGAAATAACCAAATCCCTATCAACTGATAAATGGGTAAAAATGTGGTATATTCATACAACAGGGTACTAAAAATATAAAGTGAAGCCTGTAAAAACGAACCAACTATTGCTATATAGTGCAGCGTGGATGAACCTTGAAAACATACTGTTGAATATAAGAACTAAACATAAAGGCCTTCATGTCTTTGTGTGTGTGTGTGTGTGTGTGTGTGTGTGTGTGTGTGTGTGTGTGTAGCTGTGTGAACATGTTTGAGAGTCTCTCATAGGCTTGGGGCTCACCAATTAGGCTAGACTGGTTGGCAGTGAGCCCCAGTGACCCTCCTGCTTCTGCCTCTCCAGAGCTAGGATTTCAACCCTGTGCCACCACCCCTGGCGTAGAGGACTTTACTCTTTGTTTTTGGATTAAATTATCTTTAATTGTGTGGTGTCTGTGTGTCTGTGGGAGGGTGTGTGTATGTGAGTGCAGGCACCCTCAGAGGCCTCAGAGGGTGTCAGGTTCCCCTGGAGTTGGAGCGACAGGCAGGTGCTGTCTACCTGACGTGGGTGCTGAGGACTGATCTCAGATCCTCGGCATTGCCCGTAACTGCTGAGCCGTCTCTCCAGCCCTAAGGGCTGCCCTTTTAATGGCTCTTTGTGAATAATTCCTAGAATAAGCAAATTTGCAAGTCAGGAAGTTTGCCAGAAACAAAGGGAAGGAGGAAGGAGGAAGAGGCTGCTATTGAGTAAAGGGCTTCTTTTAGGGCTGTCGAAAATGTCCTGGAACTACGGGAGGGGTGATGTACAATCATGTGACTACCTAAAAATTCCATTGTGCATTAATGGTATGCAAATTATATCTTAATTAAAAATAGCTACTGCTGACATTTCTCTCGGTGTGCTTTCGGAGTCTCTCCCCTCTTCCCCCAGTCTTCTTGCAAGCCAAGTGTCCCCATTCTGTTCTTTACAGTACATTATTTTTAACATCGAAGAAACGAATTTTGTCCCTGTTACATTTGATCTTGTAATTTTTAGCTCATCCCCTCCCCCTTTCCTATATCTTTCTTTCTTAGACAGGGCCTGTGTATCCCAGGCTGGTCTTGAACTGGCTACATAGCCAAGGATGACCTTGAACTTCCAAACCTCTCATCACCGGCTTCCGAATGCTGGGATTACAGGCATGCAGCACACACCTGGTTTATGCGAGGCTGGGGATGGAGCCTAGGGTTTGGGAACGCAAGGCAGGCACACTACCACCTGTTTTTAGCTCCTCCTTCCCTCTTCTTAAGTATTACTGAGCGCGCACTATCAGCTAAGGGAAGGAAGACTTGTGGTCTCTTCAAGTCAGGCCACTCATTCATTAAAAAGCATTGAATAAGAACTGATTAAAAAGCACCGAATAAGAACCAGTCATGGACAGAATTTGGAATTTTACCTAAAGATTAGTTTTTAAAATTCAAACAATCTCTTGATATGCCTTTGATAACTCTATTACCCGAAGTGTTGTGCTCCCGTGTTGAAGGCTTAGTCTTTAAACACTGAGAAGGGATTGGTTGATTCACAAGGCCTCTGACCTAATTGATGGGTTAATCTGATGATTGGTTGATTCATGATGTGATGGCTTCATTGGGAAGTGATGGAAACTTTTGGAGGTGGGACCTAGTTAGAAGTCGGTGACTGGGACAAGGCCTTTGGAACCATCTTGTCCCAGGCCTTGCCTTTTCTCTGGTTTGCTCACTCTCTCTCTGCTTCCTGCACATCACTAGGTGAGCAGCTGTCTTCTATCATACCCATTCCACTAATTTCCCCTCCTCAACCCAAAGCCATGGAGCCAGTCAATCTTGGACTGAAACCTGTGAATCATAAGAAAATAAATCATTCCATCTTCAAGGTGTTTCTCTTAGCTAGTAGCCATAGCAATGAAAATTTCACAGAGGAATCTATGTCTGTCTTGGTAGTTTCTGCTGATTCTTATGAATGGTGGCTTGTAGCAGGAATCTTAGAAGGTCTTATTAATAAAATCAAACCTGAGGCCAGTTATTGGGGTGAACGCTGGAAGATCAGAGAAGCAGAACAAACCACAGCTACCTCACCTTGCCAATTCCTCAGCTGATCTTGTTTCCTCAGACTGGAAGCTTCTGAGTCCTCATCCAGAATGAATCTCAGCTGAACTGCTGCTCAAAAGCCTGAAAGCTTAGCCAGCCAAATGCTTAACCAGCCAAATTCTTCTAGTTTCTGGTCTTCACGCCTTATATATCTTTCTGTTTTCTGCCATCACTCCCTGAGATTAAAGGCTCACTTCTTGGGATTAAAGGTGTGTGTCACCATGCCTGGCTGTTTCCAATGTGGTCTTGAACTCACAGAGATCCAGACGGATTTCTGCCTCTGGAATGCTAGGATTAAAGGCGTGAGTGCCACCATTTTCTAGCCTCTGTATCTAGTGGCTGTTCTGTTCTCTGACCCCAGATAAGTTTATTAGGATGCACAATATTTTGGGGAACACAATACCACCACAGTGGCTTATTTTCTTGCCTATTTTGAAATTTTACTGTAAATCCATGTTCTCTGTCTCCTTCTGTCTCTGTCTCTCTCTCTGTCTCTCTGTCTGTCTGTCTGTCTGTCTGTCTGTCTCTCTCTCTCTCTGTGTGTGTGTGTGTGTGTGTGTGTGTGTGTGTGTGTGTGTGTGTGTTCATACCAAGGCACACATGTGGAGACCAGAAGACACCTTACAGAGGTCAGTTCTCTCCTTCCACCATGTGGACTCTGGGAATCAAACTCCAGTTGTCAGGATTGGCGGCAGGGGCCCTCACCCACTAAGCTGTGTCCCCACCCGCTCCTTACCTTTGTACCTCAAGTTGTAAACCTTGGAAAGTCTTGGCTCTGTGTAAGAGAGCGCAGCATCTCTGTGTTCCAGTGCATGGGTATCCTAGGCCCACCCCTTAGCTTCACTTCCTGTTGGGGGCCAAGATCTCTGCAGCCCTCTCATCTCACCCAGCTCTGCACCAGCTCCAGCACCAGCCCCAGCTCTTTGGTGCCAGGTTTTTTTCTTGGCTGCAGAATTTGCTTTCTTTTGTAAATGCTCAATGTATCTACAACGACACTCATCATTTTCAACCTGGTCTCTCAGGCATGAATGTGAGGTAGCTAAGGTTTTTTTTTTTTGGTCTGTCATACTATCAAAAATGCTCATCTCTAGAGTGAGAGTTCTCTCTAGTCAATGTAGCAAGGGTCTATGTGAGGCTGGGGGAAGAATTCTTCTACATTGCTGATGGGAATCCAACCGGTACATCCATTCCTGAGGAATTTCATAATTAAAAGTGTGAATTTTTTTAATGTCTTTTGTCTCTGTAATACATTTGTAAAATGCATCCTATTCCAATCACCGTGGGAGTGTGCGAAGTTTCAGCAGCCAGGATGTGCCCACAGGGTAGTGTTTCCCTAAGTTACTAACTTATGAGTTATTTTGAGCAGGGGTGGTGGGAGGATAAATCAAGGAGGAAGAAGTATGAACTTGAGAAATAATAGGCTTGAGAACTCTTCAGCTGTAGCAGGCCTTCCTTTGGGCTACCAACCAGCCCCCAAACCATGACACGGAGACTTTTTATTGGTGATGAATGCTCGGCCTTACCTTACGCTTGTTCCACTAGCTCTTATAACTTATTTTAACCTGTTTCTCTTCATCTATGTTTTGCCTCAGGGCTTTTTACCTTTCTTTCCTTCTGAATGTCTTACTTCTCTGCTTATTCTGTGGTTGCCTGGCGGCTGCCTGGCTGGCTGGCCCCGAGCATCTCCTTCTATTTCTCCTTCATTCTCTTCTCCCTTCACTTCTCTTACTTAGTCTCTCTGCCCACCAGCCCCACCTATCCCTCTCCTGCCTAGCTATTGGCCATTCAGCTTTTTATTAGATCAATCAGGTGCCTTAGGCAGGCAAGGTGAAACAAATGCAACACATCTTTACATAGTTAAACACATGTGGCATAAACAAATGGAACACATCTTTACACAGTTAAAGTAATATTCTGCAACATAAACAAATGTAACACATTTTTACACAGTTGAAGTAATATTCCACAGCATCCAGCAAATGAATAATGAGATTTGGGGGTCAGACCACATCTCCTGGCTATCCCTAGCTACAAAGGAATTTTGGGCACAAAACTGAGGCTTCATGAATGAGACAGGACAAATGAATACCATGGACTCTGCCTGTCTGTCCAGCCATCCGGTCACATATAGGAGAGACATCAAGGAAGGACAGACACCAGGCTGTGCTGGTGGTCATTCCTAGTTGGTAAAATTGACAAGGTGATTTTTATTTTTGTACACAGTATGCACACTTGGTGTTCTAAGTTTAATTTCAGCAAAGCTGCACTGTGTCTCTAGAAAAAAATAAATTAAGAAAGGAAAAGCTGGCCGGGCGGTGGTGGCGCACGCCTTTAATCCCAGCACTCGGGAGGCAGAGCCAGGCGGATCTCTGTGAGTTCGAGGCCAGCCTGGGCTACCAAGTGAGTCCCAGGAAAGGCGCAAAGCTACACAGAGAAACCCTGTCTCGAAAAAAACCAAAAAAAAAAAAAAAAAAAAAAAAAAAAGAAAGGAAAAGCTATTCAGGAAAGGTTATAGGAATGGGATGGCACAAGGAGGGGTGGGGGCCAGAGCAGATGGGGTGAGAGAGAAGCCATCAGGTCGGGAACCATGACCACCCGAGTGAGACGAGGAAAGCTGATAGGTGAAGGCCCCTGCAGTGTGCAGAACATTCTGGCTGCTTTTGCTTGCTGGATATTTCCTTGGTTTTCAGTTTAGGGTGAGTCAAGATGCTGACAAAATCTGTTTGGCACACACAGGCAGCAGGTGGGGCTCTGCAGTGCTTCTTGTACAGGAGGAACACTGTCTGGGTGTGGATAGTTAGCAGCTGGCTCACTGTGCAGTGTGCCTGACATCCTGCTTGTTAACTGGCCAACGATGGCCCCAGACCTTCTTTGTGATGTATTCAGTGTCACAAAGTGGAGAGTCATCCTCCCCAGGAGGAACATGCCCATGCTGTGGAGTTATTACCATTGTGACAGCGGCCTTGGCTTAGGGGTTTGGCCACAATAACACAGGTACCATGCATTGGGAAGGTCAGAGAAAATGATTTTTTTTCTTTGCCAGAGACTTTGCTGATGATGATGGTTGCCACTTATTAGTTCTCTCCCTAAGGCTCCGATAGGCTGAGTGACTTGCTGGGGTTACACAGCCAGGCTGTCTGTCTAGTATGCTTGTAATTAGGGCTACCCCACTTCCAGGCTGCCCAACAATCCGGGTTTTCTTCCTTCTAGCATTTAAAGTTCTGCATCCTGGGAAACCACTCAGTGGTGAGCAGATGTTTGGTTCAGCTGCCCTCCCTCGCCTCCAATCTGGATCCCTCTGTGACTAGAAGCGGCCTCAGTCTTCTCTGAATGTCTTCCTCCTTCCCTGCTCCTGAACCTTTGGCTTTTCAGACCTCTTTCTACAGGGCTCTCGGGGGAATCTCAGGTCTATACATAGATGCTGGCCAACATGTTGAGGGTAGGCATTTTCCTAATGCCAGAGCTGTGAGGCATACATAATTCATACTAAAGGATTCCCAGTGGAATTCATGAGTGAGTACATTATTAACATCACCTACAGCAAAAGCATTTACAGTGCTCGTTATGAGTCAGGCATGGTTAGGTGTTGTGGGAAATAACTAAGTAACTGATGAAATTAAGTGAATTACACTCTCCGGCATTTGGGGCATCAACAGAGGATCTCCCGCCAGATTAGTTAAGGGAGCAGAAGCACACAGGAAAGCCCATGATATGGACAAGGAGCATAGGGCCCAGAAGAAGGGCCAATAAACTAGTGATCCAAAGCCATGAGTGCAAAGTGGGGCTCCTTAGACTAACGTTGTGTTTTATGGTCTATATAGTTATTTTGTGAAACTTAGATTGAGTGAAAAACATTTTGAAACTGGCATATCTTGCATAAGAGTATGGACTTTGAGTTCCTCTTAACAAAATGGAAATTGCGACACCCTGGTACTCACTAATGATATTACTCAAAAAATGGGGCCCTGGCTCTCTGATTTTCCCTGTTCTGGGTCTTCCTGGACGATGCTGCCTATGGCATCGAAGTCTCTAGTGGAAAAGGCTTGTGGCTATAATAAACTATCACGGGGACGGTTACTCAGGAAGGCCCATCTTGTAGGCAAGGAACAAGAAAGACACACAAGAAGGGCCCACAAGCTTGTGATCCAAAGCGGTGACTGCACAGTGGCACCCTCAGGTTCCCTATAAGCTAATTTTGTGTTTTATGAATTATGTCATTATTTTGTGAAAATTAGGGTGACTTTCCAATCAACATTCCCCCGGTACAGGGTAGCCCAACTCTGTTATCTAGGCCTACACCTTGAAGTGGGTCTTAATTCTTCTTCCTCACCTCAACAAGCCTTGATTCTGTCTTGGACCCAGCCTGACATGGCCCATTTCGACCTTCCGGGACAGGCCACTGGCAGCTCTTGCTTTGCACCAGGCAGCTGTGTCCTGGTTGTTCAAAGCAGTACCCCTGCTTCAAATACTGCTCTGCATTTGTCTTTACCAGTGGGTCTCTCAGAGACTTGGTGTGGTCTCTGCTACCGGCCATACCTCACACTGATGATCTTGAATACAAGTGTATTACCTCCTGGGAGTGCCTCCATGTAATAGTTTCTATTATCTAAGGCTACGTGATGGACCTCCTTCAAACCTACCCATTGACTATGCTTCTGTGGAATGGGAATCCAGACGCGGCTTAGCAGATAGTTCTAGCTTGTGGTTTTCATGAGGTTGCAGAGAGATGTGGGTAGGGCCAAGTCATGTGAGTCTTGACTGAGATGAGGGATCTACTTCGAAGGTGCCTTAGTCAGTGTTCTATTGCTGTGAGAAGACACCATGACCACACAACTCTTATAAAGGAAAATACTTAATTGGGGCTGGCTTCCAGGTTCAGAGGTTTAGTCCATTGTCATCATGGTGGGAAATATGGCGGCATGCAGGTGGGCATGGTGCTGGAGAAGGAGCTGAGATTTCTACATCTTGATCTGCAGGCAGCAGAAGGAGACTTTCCCACACTAGGCCTACAGTGAGCATATTAGAGCTCAAAGTCCATCCCCACAGTGACACACTTCCTCTAACAAGACCATACCTACTCCAAAAAAGGCCACAACTCTAATAGTGCCACTCATTAAAGGCCAAGCACTTAAACACATGAGTTTATGGGGGCCATTCTTACTCAAACCATCCTAGAAGGCATTACCCTGTATCTTACAAGTGTTTGAATACGAAATGCCCACTGCAAGCTTATGTTTTGAGTACCTAATCACCAGCTGATTAACCTATTTACAGGGAAGTTATGAAAACTTTAGGAGGTGATGCCTAGACAGAGGAAGCAGGTTACTGGGGACAGGTCCTTGGGGTTTATTATCCCTGATCGCACTACCTACCTCCCATCTGGTATGATGTGTACAGCTCTTGCCATACCATCCCACCATCACAGTGCTCTGTCTGAGTGCACAGGGCCCAGTGACTAGGACTGAACCCTCTGAAACCAGGAAGCCAGATTAGCCTTTTCTCCTTAAACTTGATTTTCTTGGGTCGTTGGTTACAGTGAGGCAAAACCCTGACTAATATGGCAGGTTAGTGCTGCTTTTAGGAGAGCAACTTGGACTCTTCTCTCTCCATGGCCTTTTATAGTAGGATGTCTCGAGGACATGAAGGCTGGATTCCTTCTGGTTAAGAGATCCAAGAGAGCCGGATAGAAGATGCTACCCTGTGTGTAGAGATCAGAAGTTGATGCTGAGTGTCTTCTTCAGCCACTTTCCACTTTATCTCTTATGATAGAGTACGTCACTGAACCTTGCTGTTTTGGCTAACTTGGCTCGTGTGGTGGTTTGAAAGAAAATGGTTACCAAAGGGAGTGGCACTATTAGGAGGT